ATTGATGAGAGCATGTTTATATTATTCTTTATCAGTTGTGACCTCCGTTACTTCAATTTATGATAACATCATTCCCGTGCTTAATAGGTCAAACTAAGGATTGGAAGGAAAGTATTATGATAAAGGGGTTTGAATATTTATGATCCGACTAAAAGATCTATATTTAAGACGAAAAATGCATTATTTGTGCGTATGTTGTGTTTGGGGAGAGACAACCTTTGAGGAGGAATCATTTTCAATGCCAACTATTGTTTCTGACAATGTGCATGTCTCTTTTCATCTCATTGATCAAGAAGTAGATTTATAACCTTAATAGGATAGTGTTGAAAATCTTCCAACTCAAACTGGTTCGGTTATTCAAGATTAACAAACTAAACAACCTCACGAACTCGTATTGGTAAGGAGATCCACTAGAGATGGAAGGAATGCTATTTCAATGATTAAGTAGTATTTTTCAACAAAATAAAGAAATAGGTTGAAAGAAAGTGATCCTATCAATTTTCGTCAAGTCATGCGAGATCCTAATTCTCAAAAGTTTGGCTGCTTTTTCATGACCCGTTTGGCTGCTTTCCAATGATCCATACTAAGGTTACTTAAATATCTTCCTAACATACCAATAACAAAAGATATATCAAGTCTGGTACATACCCGAGCATACATCAGACTCACAATAGCCGAAGCATAAAGAATCTTCTGCATTTTCTTAGTTTCCATATTAGCTTCCTGGCAATGACAAAGACTAATATTGTCTACTATCATAGTCGTGGTATTCCCTAGTTTGCAAATTTGCATATCCAATCTTTGCAACACTTTTTTTTTCACATAGTTCATCTGTGATAATGCAAGAATACCTCAAGAAGGATTCTTATTAATCTGGATTCTAAGTAAAAAAAAGGCTTCTCCAAGATCTTTCATTTTATTTTTTTTTTATAAAAGTTTCTTTTTTATCGTGCACCAATATTAAATCATTTGTGTCACGCAACATGTTATCGACATACAAAATAAGAAAAATACATTTACTACATGAGATTACCAACAACATTCGTCTCAGAACCAATGAGATACCACTATGTGAAATTTATGGTACCACTGAAGAGATGCTTATTTGAGTCTACACATAGATTTCTTTATTTACAAATCATAGACTTTGGTTCTCCAGACAAAAAGGTTTTCGGTTTCACATAAAGGTTCTTCTATCAATGTCACCATTTAGAAGAGCTATTTTGACATCCATCGGATGTAACTCAACATAAAAATGTGCTACTAATGCTGTAAGTATCCTAAAACAGTCTTTTGAAGAACCCGAAAAAAAAGTCTACTTCTAATCTTGCCTTCATTTTGAGTAAAATATTTTGCTGCAGGACAACGTTATTTTTTCCACATTACCTTTGAATATCTTTAGTTTTAAATATTATTTACAACAAATAGATTTTGGACCTGCAAAGTAATGGGACAAGAATATCCCAAACTTGGTTGTTTTTTATCGACATACTCTTCATTCATGGCATTAATCAACTTTTTAGAATTTGGGTCTTGCATGACTTGAATAAATTGATAGTATCACTTTATTTCAAACCATTATTTTCTTTATTTTCGTGAAAAAACACTATTAGTAGTATGAAAAAGAATTCTTTGATCTCTAGTAGATATCCTTAACGACACGAGTTCTTAAGGTAGTTAGATCTCCATTATCTAATTCTTTTTCTGTATGGCGAGGATGGTTATAGGAAAGACAACCCTTCTCTACCCTAAAAGTGATTACGGCCAAGTTGAGGAAATTTATCAGTCTGTTGGAGTTCTTCAAACATCATATGCACAAAAGTGACAATGAATTATCCGCCATACTTTTTACACGGAGGTTGTTTCAATAGTTTGTTGTAGACGTTTATCCAATGGTTCAGGGAGCTCACTCATATACCTCCATTTTAGATATAAACAATTGAGTACATAATCGTACAACCAACTTTATGATGTTGTGTTACGCGGTGACATCGATCCTGGTTCTCAAGTGAAATCGATTATATTGTCATTGCTGTTCATGGGGGGAGCAATATATATCATTTAAAACTATTAGGATGCGATGGCCATTTGCCGTTGGACAAATTATTATGATATATTCATAACTTGTAACCCGAAGTGGCTTGAAATCGATCGTTTTTTGTCTAAGAGCAATCTCAACCCGAAGTGGCCAGAAATTTATATTTCAGCTTGATTATTATTTTTTTCATTTTTAAAAACTCGAATATTTCGGTACAATGTCATTTTTTTTTAAATAACTGAACTTATCGAACATCCAAAGTACATATAAATATTATTATTATCTTTTTAATATTTTATACTAAAGTATTAAAGTATCATTTTATTTTCAACAAATAAAATATAAAAATATTAAAATACTAATTATATTTTCATTAATTACAAATTTGACCCAGAAACTAAATTGTAATATATTAAAACTAATAAACTCGCAATCAAGCCATTGAAATTTATTCATTGCCAACAATCAGCCCCCCAGTCACCCATTTTTCACGTAATGTCCTCCTGCCGCTTTTCACCTAATCGTTGCGTAGCTGCTCTCTCACATGACATAGCCCGACGGCGACGGTCTGAAGCCTCACACCG